TTGACTTATCTACCTTTATTTTGCCAATTGTTCCCCCTCTCCAATGAAGAGCAAATTCACATGCATTTGCTCTAAAGAAAGGTTGCAAAACATGCTTAAGATGCATCTTCCCTGCCCTGTCCATATTTGCTGGCTTCCATGCCTATATAAAATAGTATTTCTCGTATCTTTAAGATTACAAGTGGAAGATCATGTACTTTTCTCGTATTCCAGTGTTGGCAATATTTCATTTTTTTTCCTGTATATGTGTTATTTGTTGTGCAATATTTCATTTTTTTCTGTATATGTGTTATTTGTTGTTGTTAATTCATATTCAGAGAGAAAAAATAGAGAGGGCAAAGTCCCGTTAATCAATTTTAATTGCAAAATTGTATGATTCGGTTGAATGCTGTAATATTTTTTGTCCTATGAATGTCTAAAAGATAGGGACTACTGCTACCCTAGTCTCTTGTATCTAGTCATGTCCTATAAACGAGGCTTCGAGATTTGCATAACGTCTTTTTCTCAACGAACTACCTTCTTACTTGACTAAATAAGTGTGAGATTAAGTACACTTTAGCATTAGACATATGTTAGAAACCTGAAACTCGGCATTAAACTCATGATTATGTGACAATTCTTTATGCATGTTCACTTCTAGCCCTTTTCTCTAATTTAGTACATGTTTGGTACACGTACTGGATTATGTTATCATTATTAATTTTTATAAATTTTAGCCCATCCGAAAATCTACCTCTAACTATTTTCCTATTTACTTTAAAATTTAATTTGTACATTAGTTGAATTTGAAAAATCGGAATTAGAGAGATAAAAAGTTAATTATTGAAGAGAGGGATAACTATGAGCTTTGTTTCTGGTTCCTATTCGGACTATAGAAAATTGAAAACTAATGTTTTAAAATTGAATCAGACTGGCTTGGTCGAATTAGGAAGATTGAAAAGGGGGATTTGCTTAAAGAGGCCAGTCAACCATGTTGTTTGGTAAAATAGGCTAACTCAATACTTATTGTTCAGATAGCCCATGGTCCATTTAATCATATATTAAAAGTTTTAAATACCCTTAAATTGAAATGACTAAAATGTCCATTTTGGAATCAACATTTACCATATCCCCAAACATAAATCCTACTTTTCAATGTTTTCATACACAATTTAAAACCGATTGTAAAATGGCATAATGCCGTTTTAACTAATTTTATGTTTGTGTCAATTTATGTTTCCTCGTATCCACATAAAAATTATAGAAAACAAGTTTTAACAATATTTTAAGCGAAATTGAGAGT